CGCCTCACTCGGTGCGGCGCGTACGCCCGAGAAGCTGGGATTCCTTCGTGAGCGTAAGCTTAAGTGGCCCCGTGTCTTGGACAGCACAGGGTGGCAGGAGCCAGTCGTGTCTGCAGGACTGGGGCGCGGGGCGGGCCGAGGGCAGGGGGTGATGTCCGTGTCGTCACAGGTACTGTCCTGAGTGTCGAAATGACGCCAGCGAGGTGGTGCTGGCCGGAGAGAAGCTGAAAGAGAGTAAGAAGAAGGCGAAGATGGCGTCGGCCACGTCGTCCTCACAGCGGGACTGGGGCAAGGTGAGGTGGCCCTCGCCCCGTGCGCCCCGGCCACCCCGCATCCCCCGCACTCCGCGCCCGCTCACGCTGCTCTCCGTTCTGTTTCTGGCACGGACAGGGCATGGCGTGTGTGGGGCGCACCAAGGAGTGCACCATCGTGCCATCCAACCACTACGGACCCATCCCGGGGATCCCCGTGGGCACCATGTGGCGCTTCAGAGTCCAGGTACCGGCAGACGGGCACTGCTGTCCGGAGGCCCCTCCGCCCGGGGCCGCCAGCCCTCGAGCAGGTGGCGGCCCGTGCTGTCGGGGAAGAGGGTCTCATGACAGGCGTGTCACCTTCAGAGGGAGAGCCAGGCCGCCGGCTCTGCAGGCGGCAAAGGACGTGTGGGGTTGAGCGTCTCTACAGGCGCCGGCCAGAAGGTGCCACTCGCTTCTCGGTGGTTTCCGCAGGTCAGCGAGTCGGGGGTCCATCGACCTCATGTCGCAGGCATCCATGGCCGGAGCAATGATGGGGCGTACTCCCTGGTCCTGGCCGGGGGGTACGAAGATGACGTGGTAAGCGGGGCTTGGGGGGGGCTGGTATTTATTTTCTAATTGTAGTAAAATACGCATAACATAAAATGTACCGTTTAACCATCCGTAAGGGCACGGCTCAGCGGCATTAAGCACACGCACGTTGCTGTGCCACCGTCCTCACCGTCCGTCACCAGAACTTTCTCATCGTCCCAAACTCACCCTCTGTCCCCATTACACACTCACTCCCCTCCCCCAGCCCCCGGCTCCACCATCTGTGTCTGTGAATCCGACTTCTCTGGGGACCTCCTGTGAGTAGGATCACAGCGTTTGTCTTTTTGTGACTGGCTTATGTCACTGAACGTGATGTCCTCCAGGTTCATCCATGTCAAGCAGGTGTGTCAGAATATCGTTTTAAAGGCCTCATACTATTGCATTGCCTGGATGGACCACGTTTTTATCCATCACGTGTCAGTGGACCCATGGTTCGCTTCCTCCTCTTGGCTGTTGTGAATGATGCTGCTGTGAACACGCGTGTACAGATA